GGCGATGTTGTTGGTACCTAACATTAAATAAATAAGATAAATAAATCATACCCATACAAATATTATATATAATCACCACACCCAAAGTTAATAATAAATAAATAAACAAATAAATATTCTAAGAAAAACACGAAAAAATAAACTAGCAATAGAAAAAAAACTAAGCAATAAAAAAAGGTCACACTTAAGAATCAGACGATGAAGATGTAGATGATGATTCTACGTGCGATTGATTAGCAATTATCAAAATCTTTCCGTCGTCGCCACCGCCGCAAAAGTATATTCGGGCGGCGTCTTGGCTTAGCGCAATGCTATGTGCGATTATTGGGATGTCGAATTGGTATTGGAAATTTAGGCTAATTGAAATAATAAGTGATGATAGTGGATAATGATTATCATTTTAACCATAAATTAAAGGCGAGAAAATTATGAGGGTTATCTCAAAACGTACTTCATACAATCGAATAACGCGATCCCTCGTGCATTACTAACTAAGACATGGTTTCTGATCGATGAGGTGATCATGTCATTTAATCGTTCCTCAATTTCCACGGTTCCCAGAAATTTTCCATTGATCGAGTAGCTGTATATAAAATACTCGTCCTAACAAATAAAAAAACGATTGATTGAAAATATCCTTAGATTTAGATAACAGTAAAAATACTCAATATAACGAATTACTTACTTTCCGTTCAGCATATACGATTATATTGCCTTCCTTACTAACACATACATTCTCGACTGTTGCATCAGCATCATCTAATGGCCGCAAAGTACGAATATAGCTTCCATTTCGTAACGAGTGAACGATACATGTGCCATCCTTTCATATTATGATGAAAGCAACCGGTAAATTTTTAAATCTTGGATGTTAAGAATATAAATACGATTCCAAACCTTAGATCCGCTCACTAAAATATCATGTTCTGCATTCGCTGCCACACAAGTTATCTTTTTTTTTTAAAAAAAGATCTTAGCATTTCTAAATCATCAAAATTAATAATAAATTATTTCTTATTAACTCTGTTACCTCATCATCATGACCATAAAATGCATGCGTAGGCGTATGATTAATATCCAAGAACTCATTATCACCACTCAAATTGATGTTCCACGATAAGACACACGAGCTCCGAGATCCAGTGACGATAGTTCTACCATCCTCGCTAATTGCAACAGTAGTTACGATATCGTCATGTCCTGGTATGCTATCGATGGTCTTGCCCGTTTCTGTAAGTGTGACTTTGATAGTATTGTCCCAATGACCACAGCTAATTAACACTTTTCCATCCTGACTACACGTAAAGCATCTCGGTGAAATAACCGCGTCGTAGCAAAACGGACTATTCAATCGACTGACAAAAGAGATTACAATTAGCTATTTGCTAAACAAAAATATACTAAAAATTCCCTCGAGAATAAAAAGATAAAAATTGTTATATGTATAATCCACTTTCCAATAACTTGCCAACTATAATACCTCTTATATTCCAACATAGGATCAACCTCAACAGAAAACGGTATCTCGGCAGTAACAGGGTTCGGCGTAATCCGATGGCTGCCCACAATGCCGTCTTCATCAATAGTAACAATCTGCTGAACCGGCGACGTGGAAAAAACATCAATATCAACATTCGAAACAGCAATGTACAAAAGACGCTTCGAAATCAACTGTACGAGATATTGTTTATGATTTTCTTGACAGCTTAAGATATCTTTTTTTATGAATTCGCGCTTTGGAAAACGTTGTGGATGAGGTTTTTTAAGTAATTGTGTGGGGGTTTGACCAAAATGATATATTTGCTGTTCTATACTTTTTCGCTCGTGTTCATCTTCTATGCTATCAATGTTTATTTTGTTCTCATATGTGAGATAATAGAATACATTGTGTGCTCGAATTGCTTCCTCGCCTGTTTGCTTATAACCAAAAATTAAATCTATTTCATGGTGAATCCAAACTATTTAGTTGACGCCTTTTAAGTGTAGATATCAACATTGATTGCATAATTCAAAATTAAACTTACCTATCCAATGATGTAAATTTGCAGACACATAATCAGATTCGAGAGCTTCTCGATGAAGACGGATAAACTCTTCGGGGGTGGAGGCCCATTTTGGTAATATTACATCATCCAAGCGAACGCCATCTTGCCGAACCTGTAAACCACACAAGCGACATGAATATATACGAGTGTGTGTATATTTAGATTAAATTATTATGATGCTTGACTAATACATTACCCCAAGATCAAATTTATTATTATTGACTAGAAATTCAGGAAGGTAAAAAAATTCTGGAATCAATTCTCGTACGTCGCCACTCCCATGTAGACACGCGTGCCAAGTCCTTTCTATAGAATGAAACTGCCGATCAGCATGATCGAATTTTCCGCCTTGTAAAGAAATGTGCACAGATGTGAATGGCTCCAAGCGTATAAGATATCCAGCAACAGTTGCCGCACTCGAATAATGTGTTCCATAATGGAATTTCGGTATGCGCCCTGAAGGATCCTCGAAACCTTCATATCGTTCTAGAACTTGTGCGAGTCGATCGGGATCAAGAGCACCGATAGGTTTTGACAGATCTCGGTATACTTTTGGATCATCCAAGTCTATGGTTTCCGACTCGTAGTCGGCTAGAATCCAAGGAAATACTGGGTATTGTGAAAGATCGTTGTGAGATCTCCCCGCTATGGTATTCAAATGCATCAAGTATTCAAAATTTGATATTTCGTGACGTTGCCAGCGTTGAGTTATGCCAGAATTTGCTAGTATTTCAATAGGTGATCGATGGTCTTGATTGATCATTGATGAGGGCTTTAACGAGATTATTTTCTTTCGCAGTAGCTTGCGGTCATTAGGCTCAGGAAAATTGAAAAAATAATTTGTTTGATCTGTCATGAAAAATTCTAAAGCACTTCTTCTAAGTAAATAATTGCGTAAAGCAATCTCTCTTATTTCCGATAATAACCAATTTTTATCTCGAAGCATATCCGTGTCGACAATCACCGAGCCTTGCTCAATATTACTTAACTCTTGTAAAATGCTCTGGCGATCCACAAAAAACGATAAATTTTTAGTAGTCAATTCAATACGCCCTTTTATCGCCGACAACAATATAATCAGCTCGCATTCAGCCGAAAAAATCGGTTTGTCTATCGAGACATCCACCGTGCCAACTACATCATCACCAGCCACTACATTCCACTCTTCATCTTCAAACTCATCCGAACTTTCTGACTCGTCTGCCTTTGGGAGAATTGATAGGATTGACGTCCACATGTCAGTCCACGGATCGATCAAATTCAGAGAAGAGACATATGGATTGTTTATTTTTATTCGCTGGATACTAGCACTCTTGGACCTGTTTCTATTCTGTGAAATTGGTGTTTTATCTCTCTTCGCGCTTGCCTCATTGTGCGGATCATAATCATAATTAATTGTCAGTTTTCGGTGCATACGTGAATAGTTCTCGGATTTATCTAATCTCCAATGAATTTCTGTCTGACGTCGCACTGACCATGCTCCACGTTCCTGGGTTAATTCGTGAAATTTTGCTTGCCATCTACGAGACGTGCGCATCGTTTCGTTCTTTTTGTCAATCTCGATATTTGATATACGGTTTATCTCCTCCTCTTTGTAACTCTGTACCATGTTATTCAAATCCGTATCAAAAGCCAATGCGAATTTTGCCATATTTTGATCTTCCTTTTTCGAGCGGAACAAAAATTTTCCAAATTTCTTTGCAAAAGCTGCTTTCAAGCGTCTCACCATGGCGAAATCATCGTCGCCAGCAGCTTTCATTGCAGGTACTATAAGTCGATCATGAACAGTTATCCAATCGCGAGACGTGATAAATTGAACAAACGCCTGTTCGTCGAATTTTGAATTTTTCCATACCCTTGCTAATGTGTCACTAAATAGTTTGGGATCCTCTAAAGGAGTAAGGTAATTTTGACATTTGCTCATGGCAAAATAGTAAGTAAAAACTGTCTTGTGTTCATATGAGCCATTGGTGGATTGACTTGCTCTAATTAGAAATTAAATAGAATATATATATATATATATATGTATAAATCTTTCTATATTTTGTATTTTAGAAACACTGATGCTCAAATTATAACTACTCACATGAAAGCTTCATGGATTTCGCCTAAAAGCATCTTGATATGCTGTTGGAAGATATCGCTATCAGTGCAGAGATACTCTTCGAGCAGTTTTCCGGTGGTAGTGGAGGAAGCAGTGTTCGAAGTTGAGACATGCCGGTCGATAAAACCAACAAGGTTCTCGAGTGCCTTTTCGCGTAGCAATGGATCAGGGGTCGAGATCCCAGCAATCAGGATTCGTAAAACCATGCGACAAGTGTCGCCGGGACGCTGCAATAACAATCGAAAAACTGCAGCTCAATACACAAGGTGTTCTTTAAAAATCCTTTCATTTCTAATATATATATATATTGAAAGCGTTTTCGGCGAATAGGTTTTAAATTTTCAGCTAACCAGGTCGATCCGATTAGGTGGTATTGTCTCTAACCTCCATCCTGCCTTCCGATCTAACGCGTTAACAATCTCCAGGTATGTTTCGGCGAGTAGTTGGTCTTCTTCCCATGGATTACTCGCACTCTGAAATACCATGTTGTCAGGTCGTAATAGCGAGTTAAGGGATGAGGGAAGGGTCGATTCCAACTTTTGGAAGACTGGCATTTCGTTGATGCCGAGTGCGTTGATTGCAGGAAGACCAGTTTCTAAGAATCAAGCATCAAAAATTACTCCAATATTATTTTGTTGGAATAAAGGATTTTTTTACTTACCATACATTGAACGGAATGATGATGAGTAGCTTGTGGATAATGATGTGTTGTTCTCGTTACTGCTCAATTCTTGCTCTACAACTTGAGCTATATCTTTATGACTGAATATAATCTCTTCAGTAATCATTACTAATCTCACAATATTTTCCTATAAAAAAAACAATTTTTCCATGTATCAATTCAAAGCTAATTTTTTATATCAATTTTAGACCAGAATTAATCATACCAATTTGATACTGCCAAAGATCACCAAATCTATCTCACGTATATCTTTAGCTAAAACACAAAGCATAAGGGACAGAAAAGCACGAATAACCTCTAGAGAATTGGCACGATCACTAGTCCAAATAAGAAATATGGTTTCTTCAATAGCTTGAAAAGCATTTTTTTCCACTGGTAATAGATTCCAAGTAATACAAGTTAGTAAATCAATGACCCAATTGGCTGTGTCTTTCTGAGGGGAATTAATCTGGATAGTAGCGTACGGTGGGATAAGGGAGACCAACAAACGTTGCCAGCACCACAGTTGGTTAAATTGAAGACAATAATCAATATTATGTTTAAAAAGTCCGACAAATTCTTCAAGTATTTTGTTTTGAAGCGATGGATTTGTGCCCTCACAATTTAGCAGTGAAAAAATGACAAAAACGACGCGAAAGTTTTTTATTGTTGGAGGTTGTGATTCTGATTCTGATTCATGAATGTTATTCGATTGCAACTTGTTTTCCTTATTATAATCAGGCAATCCGTTCAGAGTAAAAGTTTCCATCGCCCATTCCAATAATGCTTCATAGATGGTGCGCGTCAACGGAACGCCACTAAGTAATTTTACGAGATTCGATGGATCTGTATCCATAAATCTTAATTTTTTTGCGAATTGAGGTGGTGTTGTCGGACACGTTATTAGAAATGTCATTATCTTTATGCAATAAAGACGGACAGTTTCTTCGCGCCGTCGTTTAAGCAGCTCACAAAATATCTCAAATCCACCGTATGATGCGATGTTTTCAGCCAAATCTTTACCATTATTGTTATTATTACTATTGTTATTGGACTTTGAACTTTGATTTTGAAGTTGATGACGCTGGATTAGCAAGTCGAGAAGCAATTGCAAGATTTCGATAATATGTGCGTCGTCTTCACTCACTGATAAATTACGTAGAATACACACAGTTTCATCTTTAGTAATGTCATTTATGACATAATCACGTATAATGTTTAGCACTAGTGCACGTAATTCTTTTATTTGTCTTGGACGTGTCGCACCAGCAATCATATGTCGATGTGGGGTAGACTTTTCTGTTTGCTCGTACCAATAGATTGTTTGTAATGAATCCAGAAAATATTGCACCCCAAAATGGACACGACACATTTTTTTTCGTGAGTTGCAAAAATTCTTTAAAAATTCTATACAGTATTTTTGGATGTCTAACGATGAATACATCCACAGCCTAAACTCGAATACGAGATGTGTGTATACCTCATGGACAAGTTCTTCATTCCCAGACAAGACATTTGCTAATGCGACGATGCTTTGAAACGCCGTTATTGTCAAATATCGAGGCCCAATCTGTTGTAAGAGTAAACTGATAACTCTTATTCCACGTGATTTTATTATGTGAGCTTGACTTTTAGCATTGGTTTGTAAAAGAGCGGTGATAAGGGCGAAAAATGAACGACAAGGACTTTCTGATGCAAAGAAATCGTCTTGCGATTCAAAAGGTGCTCGATGTGTGATAGAGTCGAGCTGGTCAAATTTTAATATCATTGGAAATAAGACTTCAATATCGCCCAAGGATCTAATTGCACTTTGTAAACTTAACGTGTAACATTTTTGCACCGATACAAGGGTGGCAAATTGAAATTGTGAATGATGATTGTTACGTGGAGCAAGATTAAAACATTTTTCATTTTCGGATGCTTTGACGTGAAACCGAAACAAGATTTTTGAACCCATTATCCCGTCAACCACTTGTCGAGAAGAAGAGGTGGTGGTACCTCCATCTGTTTGTCCTGTCGGAAATTGTGTGACATGATTACGTCCAAGTGAGTAAATATAATTTATTTTATCTCGAGAAAGTACATCAGCAATTAAATATATTGTTGTCATTTGGCCACAAAAAGAATTTAGAAGACGAAAAGAACTACTACTCTTGGATTCAGTCGTCTTCTTATCTATTTCAACTCTTTGATGAGTATGATGAGAATCAACTAACGAAGCACCAACGGCGCATTTAGCGAAGGATTCATTGGGACAGTCAACAGGGTAATCGAATTTTGTCTTCCACTCAAATTCACCATCAACCGTGACATTAATCTCGGCCGGCGATGAAGTCCAACCACGTTTTGGTGGGTGATGCACAAAAGTAATGAAATACCATCGATTGGGCACGAATTTCAAATTATTCATCGTATCCCTGTACACCTCTTTCCCTTTTCTGCACAGGAAATGTAATTCTTTGTTCATGAAATAAGCCTCAATTCCATTTCCTGACTTATTGAAAAATGAGAATAACCGGGGGGCATTGTTATTTTCATTATCATTTTTTTTATTACTGTCACTGGATTCCGAGGATGAAAATTTATGATAAGGAGTGGCAGAGTCTATCTTGAACCACGTGAAGAATGAATACCCATTCAATGGAAATTTTTCAATCGTCGGTAATACGAGACCCGACTCCACACCTTGAAAATATAAAAAATCAATGGTGTTCTCCTTTTGAGCGATTGTGTATAGTAGTTTAACAAGCGGTGCATGATAATAGGTGACGATATTCGTGGGCGTAGCAATGGTGGTCGTTTCTTCAAACGGACTTCTGGCCTCTTCATTCGTTAGACAAATAAGGTTTAAAATCAACTTGACATCAGAGACTTTAACAGAGAACGAGCACACAATCTCAACTAGTTTCAAAATTTGTTCCACTACGAGGGAACGCTGGTGGTCTATTACAGTGGTGGTTGTGGTTACTGCGTTGCTATGAGTGAGTTTCTTTAGTGTTTTCAATAGCGCACTGGTCGTGTTAACTTTAAACAGTATCCACTTGTTCATATCATTATACTCTGCAAACCGAGTAAGGTGTTCCAAAACCACCAGCCGTGTAGTATCGTCCATCATTGGGAAATGAAATAGCAAGCTTTCCAGCAAATTAGAATCGGTGTGAACTAATACGCCAAGGTGTTGATCTGCCTCTGGTGGTGACAATTTGTCGCTAATTTCTAGTAACTTGTTGAGCGAGTTGGTCCATGGGTGATTTATAATATTCTCCTCTATAGATTCTTTCTTTTCGAGTAATGACTCTAAGGACTCGCTTTCCGTTTCCATTATGTATGTGTTATGCTTTGAGAGTTAGTGTCTACGTAGATGTTCTCGTAAGTTTATATAGATGTAATGCAGGTGATACAATACATAAACTTTCGACTCTATAGAATGATGATAATGACGACCTAAATTTGTCATTGATCAGAAATCAGTAACGATAACGTGTTCAAATTTCCACTAGCGCTAATTAAAAATGCAATTACGAGAAAAACACTTTTTACTTTCACACAAAAGTGATGTTCAAACTATCCACTAACTAAAAATGCCACTTCGAGAAGTACCACACAAAAGTTCACTTGTATATTTATCGTTATCTCCCTTTTACATTTTAATACCGATACGAGTGATTAAACACTTTTGACATATCGATGTGTGTGTTTTTGGGGTGTGTGCGTGTGTTGTCAAGAGAAAAAATATATCGGTATGTTGTAAACGAGCTTAATTCAAAGAAGTCTTGTTTTTTATTGGATATTTATGGTTTTTATGCAAGTTATCATTTTTTCTTAAAGTGATATTAATAATATATTAGATCGATTAATTCATCAATATTATACTTTTTGCTTTAAATACAATATTGTAACCGATTCTTGAAAAATCGTGATTTTTAAAAAATATATTAAATATAAAAATTTTTAACCGGAAGAGATAAATAAAATAAAATAAAAAGGAAAAAAAAAGAAAAATTCTTACCGAAATTCCCATTGATTGGCGGAAAGACTTAGTTGGCTGAAAAGAGATATCGATATTAATTTTTTGCTAATTTAGCAATAGTTATGAGAACACAATGAATAATAATCCCGAGTGCAAAAAATGGAAAAAAGCGGGATATTTTTCTCCCGTTTGTTCAATCAGAAATCGGGAAAACGGGACAATGCAACATTCAATCTAATGCATGCATCTGATTTAAAAAGCGTCAGATAGACAAATTTTTTGTTTGCGAACGAAGTAAGGACTCCAAGGGCTAATATCTATAATTTATTTACCCAAACAAATAACAATAGTCATATATGCTTGACAACATTAGATACTAGCATTTAGAATCCCTACTCTGTTAAAGAAAGGCTTTAAGCCGCCAATGTATTTTTATAGTGAATTCAAGTCGGAAACTCGATAGCATTCACGTTTAAAAGAACTTATATATTCATACGAGCAACTCTGAAAAATGACACCTCTATCAAACAATTTTCAAATTTCAAAATCGATATTATCATTACATTCTTTCGTCTCTTTTTTTCAAGAAATACTTTCATCATTGTATGATTATCAATGGACATTATATGACCTACAATACCTGTTTCTGTTCGTGCTTGATTGTTTTCTTCTTCACATTATCGAATTTCCCGGTCTAATAGTCAAACTTTTCATTATTGTATCTTTTGCAATTGGACTCTGCTTTCGGAAATCGCGATTATTCATACTACCATTTCTCCCTATAGCAACATGGTTGATCTTATTTTATTCTTGTCGTTTTATTCCAGGAGAACGCCGACCACATATCTACGTCTCGGTTTTACCAGCACTCGAGAATATCTTATATGGGGATAATTTGTCGGCTATCATTGCCAAACATACGAACGTAGTCAAAGATTTGTTGGCATGGTTTCCTTATGGTGTTCTGCATTTCACGTTGCCGTTTATTACTAGCACGGGACTTTGGTGGTTCGGTCCTCCAGGGATATTGGCGGTTTTTGCACGTGCTTTCGGGTACATGAACATTGCGGGTGTCTTAACTCAATTATTGTTCCCTTGCTCACCTCCATGTAGATGTTTTTTATTTTTTTCCACATAGCATTATTTAATGATTGTTTGGTTGATTGAATTTATCTATCTTTCTATTTATATAGGGTATGAATATACATACGGTATGAACACACCCGCAAAATATTCAATGCCAGGACATCCCGGGGGTCTAGCACGTATTGATGCACTTTTCAGCTCACATACATACACCACAACCTTCAGCGGATCACCAATGGTATTTGGCGCATTCCCATCACTGCATTCTGGCTGTGCCATCATACAGGCATTATTCATTTCCTATGTGATCCCAAAGTCCCGGATATTTTGCATTGCGTACGTGATGTGGATCTGGTGGGCGTGCATGTATCTCACGCATCATTATATGGTGGATTTGGTCGGCGGGGGAATTTATGCCGTAATGTCATTTTGGTTCTCGTGGAAATGGCTGCCTACTGTGCGTTATGAATTATCTAACCGAAGGGATTATATAAAAGACAATTTGTTACCGAGAACGGTTGATGATACAGAAAGAACTCCGATGTATGCTAGGATTGTTTCACCATCCTCACGTGATGCAAGTATTGATATGGATAGTCAAGTGATTGGAGATAAAAATGCCGAACTTTCCATTTCTTTAGAACTTTATGATAGTAACGATGAACTTGATTTAGGAAAGGGAATTCATCATTACCAGCATCCTAATATTGTTGCTGCTTCGGTTAGTATCGACGATTCTGATGATATCGAAGCTCGATAGAAATAGTCGTTGGCGATATCAAAAAACAATTTTAATTTTTTCCCGTGACTTCTAAAAGGAAAATGAACTTAGCGTTAGATTTATTATTTATTTATTTTAATTAATTTATTATTTTTATCATACGAGAATAGGATTTTTGGTACAGTACATTTAGGATTTGTATATTATTAAGTCTACATACATTTTACAATCATGCTTGAAAAATATAATTTTTCATTTCGTTTATAAGGCAAAATTCATTTTAGAATCAAAACATTATACCTTAACAAAAATTTTCGTGAATAGATGTAACTTTATCGATGTAATCCGTGAGTTCTATAATTCATATTTGGTCAACAAATAGACATGTATGTAATATCGAGCAAGATAAAAGGTTTAGCACTAGAGAAGTTAAAATATTACTTTCCATATACAAGGTAAACCTCCCTCTCTAGCATAGAGAGGTTTCGTTTTATTGAGTGTAGTTATATTAAGGTAATTTGAAAAATGGTGCCTTCATAAAATATAATTAGATAAAAAATAAAATTTTTAGCGTGAATAATTAAGGATTTGAACGTTATATGTATCACAAACATGTAAAATTGCCTCACTGACGTTTTTTGATCAATGCTCCAGACTGACCATAAATGTACACATTCTTATTGGTGATAGTTACTGCGGGTGGTCACGGGAATTCAAAATAACTACAATTTCTGATCATTTTAAAAGCCCCTCATTCTTATTTTCCTCTTAAGAGGCTTTTTTCGCTGATTACCACTATCAGTTGTCGTAGAATTTTCAATTATGCTCGATTGTCCCACTGTCATATCCCCCACTGTCATATCCCCCACTGTCATCATATCCATTTCATCAATGGCTGGGGTTTTCTCGGATCCTGAATACCTTCGTTCTCGTGTTGACGATTCCGGATAACGAGGCCTTGCTCGATAAGTAGCCATCTGTTGGCTTTTTCTTAGTGATGCAGCCCGATCATCAGGATCAATATAAACATATGCACTCAAATCCTCGCCAATAGTCCAATTATCGAGCAATGCTTGTGACAAATTAGATAACTTTACTTTTGATGCACTATTACTATCCTCCTTGTTACTATCAAGATTTACGCTTTCCGGAAACAAGTAAGAAGACTCGCAGGATCCTATACTCTCTTTAAGATTTGTACTGATAAACTCGTAAGATAATATTCCGTGCTCTCCTTGTCTTTTATTATTCTTTGGTATCAGCATCCGTGAACTAAGCTTAAGATCTCGCATCAAATCGTCAATAGCAAATTCACGGCATTTTAGCGCCCGCGAAAAATTTTGCGACCTTTCTTCTTGTTCTTCATTTCTTTCTTCAGGCATTACCCCCACATATGCTCGTCTTAACGCTTCCTTTGCTTTTTCCCAGTCCCAGTTTTTGTCCGATCTCTGAGCCAACAACGGAAATTCAAAAAATGTCTGTAGACAGTTTATAAATTCGCATCCACCTTCATTCGATACCAACAAGTTCGAGAGATTATTAAGAAACACGGAAGATGCGTAATTTAGCGTGTTAGTTTTGTTTGGACATTCCCTATATAGCTTGTTTATATTTTTGCCTTCGAACCATGGTATTATATTTACGGATAATTGATGATAAATGTATTGCGTTTGAGGTGTGATTTTTGTCTGATTTAAGATATAGTCCTTGGATAGTTCGTATCTATTATGAGGATGCAATGCATGAGTTAAAGAATTTGCATTCTAAATTTTCAAAAACTTTTCGTGTAAAGGATGCATACAAAGTAACAAAATGTGAAGCTTCCGAAACCAGCTCACGCTCATGCTGCACAAAATCTTCAAGAGACATCGCACCATCATCACCATTTCTATCCTCCAAGTTTCGAGAAACTTTCCTATAGCTATGGACAAAAACCAAATTGGTGTTATGCTTGTCATGAAGCCGAACGATCTTTATACGCTCATCTACTTTTGAAAGCTCGACCTGAACTTGCCATCGGCAAAATCTAGTATTACATCGATACAACACAGATCTAAGATTTTCCTTCTCGTTATATACCCGATTCATAATAACATATGTGAATCTAAAGCGTTTCGAATATTCTTCTAGAAAATCCTCGAAGTGATTCCAGTTCGTGAATACAGTGCCGACTTTTAGGGAATCATTAATATCTGGCTCATACATTGGAAAAGTTTCAAATTCGCGAGCGATATCTTTTTGATTTAATCATATTAATAATGGATTTGATGGGTCTTATTACGCAAGGAAATTAAAAATAATGAATGATACTCACATTCCCACACTCGATCATACGGCAATCGCACGTGCTTCTTATACATAATTTCATGATTAGTACCAACAAGATTTTCGTTTGCAGACTGTAACTGTAATGTTTCCACGTCTTTAGAAATTGGCGCAAATATTATTTCTTTATTTTCGATGTATGGTTCTGGAGCGACACTCGCTTCAGGTCCTAAATAATGTGACGACTTAAACAACGCTCCGGTATACGATAATTGAAAGACGGTGAAGCATAATCCAGTCTTGAGAAACGGTATTTCGTTTTCATTGATATTACTATTGTCATTTTGAGCATTGTTAGGATCATGATTGCTCTTATAGCTAGCATCTTGCAACAGTGCACGCACACTCATCAAGGGCGGCAATCTTCGGAAAGGGTTCGTTGCGCTTTTATAATAAGAGATCTCGGTTCTAGAATGCCACTTACTCATCAATTCCCTTGGGTAGTTTTCTCGATGATAAACAGGATGCGAATAAATTGACGGGATTTGAACTGGATAACATTTTGAAGAGATAGAGTCTGAGAAGCACGTTGAGCTGTGGAAGGCTGTTAGTTTGGGTTCGTTTTTTGACCAGGCTATAATTAAGGATTCTGTAAAAAATTATTATGTGTGAAAAATTCGTTTAGTTAAATTTGATTACTAATAAAAAAAAATCTGAAATCACACGCCAATCTCTCTCTCTCTCTCTATATATATAAAATGCAAACCTTCATTTTGATTAATCATTTCGACCCCACACGGCAGATCACGAATATGAAAATGCTCCCAGTTCAGTAACGCACGATTAGGAAACCGATGATCAAGTAACACGATTTTGTTTGTTGTTGCGACGACAGATTGAAAGCCGTGTGGAGCAGATGTTCGCTGAAACGCATATATTTTGTCAGCAGGTTGTTGCGCGCTGAATAAAGTAAGCGATGTTTGTTGTGAAAAAGATGCCTGGTCGAGGCGATCAAATTTTAAATATTTTTGAAATAAAAAGGAGTGGGTATTATATAAGTAAAAAAAAAATACATTACTCGCAAATCGAATAGATTCACGCTAGACCTCGAAGCAACTATAAGTGCTTTAGGATGTGCACCGTACTGTGTATTCCACCATCGTTCATTATTACTCTCCAACGAAGATGAAGAATCAAAAATAGGGTCCGATTCTCGAAGTGTAGTATATGGCATACTTTGAATCATGCTGCAGAATATGTGTCAAAATATTCAATAGTTTTTTAAAACACATTAAAACACAATACACCGAAAGCTTACCACTTATCAGATTTTTTACGCTCGATACGCCACAAATGTATTCCGCCACAATCATCAGTAACCACCGCCTCGCCAAAGATCGATGGATTAAACGTCAGATGCATTTGTTCATTTCCATGACGTTGTGGATCATTATTTGGGAGCGTATCTAACGCTGTTGCTATCACTGGAGTTTTATCGAATTCTGGATCGTCGGGTGTTGTTGTTCGTGAATACAGTAAGGTTGTTCCTGTAAGAGTTCGGACACCGATTAAAGCTTTTGGAGATGATGATGATTAAATATTAATTAACAAAGATTAGTTAATTCTTCCGATATAAAGAAAAAAGTAATGGAAGATTGAAATTATAGTTGTTTCCTCACAGGAAGTAGAAAGATTGTCACGTGCTGAATAGATATTAGTCTCTGAAGGAGAACACTCGATCTGTCGAATTGGAGTCTTAAATTTTGCAATTGGATTACCGGATGGCACGAATTCATACGAGGCGATGTTAAATCCGTTTTTACATTTGTTTTGATAGGAATCTAGAATTGCTATGCCTAAATATATTGTGGCATATTACAAATTTCAATCAATGAAAATATGACTCCGATCTTTAAATATATGTTATTTATTCATCAAACTACTCACTCAACTCATTTCCAAGAACACCTGTAGGAAACGTTATAAACTTTATGGAGAGATCTTTCTTCGGCGCGAGTTCGCCGAATGCGACAAGATTACCGGTGTACGGATCATCCTGTTCAATCATGTCCTGGTATTCTAGCCCTTCGCCGAGGCATTGCTCTAATAACTCATCTGAAATTTCAACATCAGGGTAAAAACTATGTAATGATGAAACCTGATTTTGAAACCTCCAATCGATTAATAAATCAATCAATAATCAATTAATAAAAAGGCTTGAGATCCTTGAGATTCAATTTTTTTTATTACCGATTCTTTGATATATTCTTCCTTTTGCCACTTGAGTAAATGAAGCTCTTTTGGGACGTAAGGTCGCGTCGGTGGAAACAGCTGAACAAGTGGTGACAATGGTTTGAAAAATTCACTTAATTTTCCTTAAGTAAAAAGGGATAATTAATTCAAGTATACTCAAATACATGTATATTATCGAGTGAGTTGCTCCTACTAACGGTCAGTAACGTCGTTCATAAAACTCCATTTATGTGCGTTCTGTGAGTACACTACGCCTCCAGCGATCCCGAAACCTAGAGGTTTTGAGGAAGTTGTCTGGCATGGAGGAAAAATGTATGCTGGAGCAGGTTCGGAATTTTTTTTTTCGTAATTTTCCATAATATAGTAAATCTTTATTAATAAAATATTACGCAAACGTGTAATATATGAAAATATGCGTTGGGTTTATGTTACTTCTATAGTTTATTTTGAGTTATCATCATTTGCCATTTACCATTTACCATTTACCATTTTCTAATATTTAAAAATCAAAATGTAGTCTATAATTATTTTCAATCTCAAGCATCAACAGTCTGTTCAACAGACGAAGAATTTTCAAGATTAAAGAGATCCATAGTTCGTTGCGGTTTTCGTGGCGAATAAGCAAGAATACTTGCTTGCCGCTTGCCAGTTCGTCGATAATTTATTATATAGTGGAGACGCAATAGGAGTCGTTGCGTGTTGTCTTTTGCCTATTATTTTAACCAAAAGGTTATTTATTGTGTTTAGATTATGAGTACCATAAATGAAATATCATAGTATACCTTTGTACGATCCAAAAAAGCTGCTCTCATGTCCACTTTAAGTCACATAGAAAAAGCATCGAGCGTTAATTGTTAATTTGTTTTGAATCCATGGTAACAAAAGCGAAAACGAAACCACGTACTTATTTTCCCGTGTAAATGATTCAACTTTTTTATGATCTCTTCAATCACATCCTATTATTTCAGAATTTTATATAAACAAAAAACTCGTTTACATAAGCTCGAAAAAAATCCTCGCAAATACGTACTTTTTCAGACCGTAATTGTTGATCATCATTTAATGCAAAGCTTAGAACCGTAATAAAATCAGATAACTCATAGTAATTCGTATCTGGTCGAATTTTAAACATGTTTCTAGTGTCTTGGAAAAGATCCAGAAGTGGTTGAAGTGAGATTGGACGCGTCAAATCGAGCTGGATTATTATAAAATATGAGTGAATTACAAGAATAGGCGAAACAATTATTGAGAAAGAATAAAAGATATAATAATAATCTAACCTCTGTCAAATTCCATAATTTTGTGTCATCTTCATAATTAAACAAAAATCGGAACGCCAATATTTGCCTCAACAGCAGTCCTCGATCTATCACCGGAAAATTATTCAAAATTTTCACTTTGAATTGGGTCTGATCACCGCATGAGTATGTGATATCTTCACATATAAGCTTTGCCTTTTATTCAAATTCGAAGTTATTAAACATCATTCACATTATTCTATGTTTAAATATAAATAATATGTAAATAATTACTTGAACAGGCCAATTTTCTTCATCGAAAAGTTCCAGGAAACTCGCTATCGTTTGTTCAATCTCGTCATAGATGGACCATAATCTTCTGTCTAGAATCATGCGACTAATCACAATTATGGCGAGTCGTATCTCGTCGTTATCTTGGAATCGAAGGCTTCTGTAAAATAATGATAAATATACATACATATATACAAATGGTTCCTTAAAACGGAGAATATTATCACTCCAAGTATAATACACACTTATTTTCAGTCAAAACATGCAAAAGTCTCAAAATCAAGCGAACATTAAAGCAATATGGGAATTCGGGAGATGATTCCAGCTCTAACAAACGAACAGCGTAATTAATATTGAAATTTAATTAATCCACAGCAAGGATAATAATATATACCTTTTGAAGTCAAGACTTGCAAACTTCTTTCTTCCAACTTTGTTTTAATGCCAAGCAACTCAGTAGAACATCCATAAGACTTTAGAACTCGTAATATTTCCGAAAAAGGCACGCCGAACTCCTTTTCTATGTTACTTTCTTGAACATCATTATTATTGTTACTAATATCATTTCGTGCCTATTTCAGTTTTTTCAACGTTATTAACAATACGAAAAATATGTATAATCAATTATCTAGAATCAAAATTTCTTACATTTATTTCACTAAATTTCTTTAAATTGTCAAACGCGGCTTCAGCTAGAGTAGATTTATCAGCAAAACTTACTAAAAACAAAAATGGTTAATTATTAAGAATTTAGATTTTCCTTTCAAGTGACTAATTTCAACATTAAATTTACCTATATCCAATAACCACATAATAACTTCAGAAGGAATTGACCAACCCAATTCGTATTGTAGCGTTATCCAATCAGTACGGAGTACTTCTTTAAGCTCATCTTTTTTTTTTATAATGTACAATATAGAGAAAAAACATAATTAATATATAAGAATACTGGCAGTATTACTTCGTTAACTTACTTGAAGACAAATCTTTTAAGAAAGAACATATTTTATCGCAAGAGCTCTTTAGCGCAGGCACTGGAAGTGGCTATTGTTTTAAGATATATAAATTATTTTTTTTTAGAAACATCGTTAATAAAGTTATTAAAAAGATATATTTACCTCAGGAATTTTTTCAAAGAAATTCAATTGTAGCTCAAAATTCTTTTGCTCATCTCTTTCAAAGATCTATGAGTTATTTAATAGCAAATTGACCATGGGATCCGACATAATACATGTATATATAAACACACCACAAACCTTTAAAAGCTGCTCACTTTGCGTTTCGGACAATACTTTGGAGGAAGTTTCTTCACGATCATATTCGGCATAAGGGTCTTCCAATTCATCCAGCAACGGAACTAACTGGGGTCAGTATTTATTTTATTGGTTTGTAAATAATATTAATGATCGGTGATAAACAAGATAATTAATCAAAAATTACCGTTCCGTCTTTAACACTTTTTTCCAAATACTGTATATCGTATCCTTTCTTGTCACGTGCCTTTTTCTCATTTAACAAGGACGTCAACGAAAATTGATATGAGTTGTTCGTAATCCCGCCATTAACGTAATCCTGTAATGGATTATCTTTCAAAGAAACGGCTTCAGCAACCGGTACAAACTTTCCCAGCGAGACGCGTTTACTTTCTCGTTTACTCCTTCGGCGTGGATTAAGTTTTGCCGAACCCGAACTAATGACAATAATTTTTTTTGTATTTAGATTGTATTTGCATTGTGGCAAATAATGGCTGATTATATAATGTAGACCTTTCTCGTTTATTGACAGCGTTGTTACTATTAGTCGGCACGTAAAAAAGATCCTCAAAGTTTGTGTTCATTAGAAATTTATCGTCATCATCGTCCTCAAGGATCTGTCGTTGATAAGCTGGTTATTGAATTAATGATCCTTTGGAACCTAGCTGACTTTATGAAAATGAAAAAAAGTTATATGTTTACATACGGCTGGAACTTCTTTGAGGTCATCATCATCATCATCTAGTGAAAGACCGGCGAAAGGCTAGAATAAAATATACATCAGAAAATCCATTTTCTTTTTTTTACAAATAATTATTTAAGCTCACCAATTGCTGGGTCGAAGACGGTGTTTTCTGGGGTGTGTTTAAACGCGAAGAAGAAATAGACTCTGCTGGTGGAGTCTTTGGAATGGAGTCTGAAGTCTCAGAGTCGCAGTCATTTGACTTACTACAGAAAAGTCGTTGTTTCATAAGTTAAACCAATAATTTTGCTCGTCAATAAAAAATTCAACAATTATCTATAATGTGCGTGCAAATTCACCTTTTTTTATTTGAGGTAGATATCCTTTGAAAGAAATTCGTAATTGGAACACTGCTGCATTAAACCAATAAGCCAAAGGAAAACAAAGTTAAAGATTCGGAATAAAAAAAGCGCAAAATAGTAATATGCGTACCGTGAAGATTCGCGTGTAGAAGATTTTTTTCGAACCATTTTGTTTACAATTTCTAGTTTTTTTTACGCGTCTTGGTGTTGTTGGAGTTTGTGTGGGTTACAATGTATGCTAATGCAATTTGATCGACAAATGGTGACCAGGTTAAGAAAATCGTGTTTATGGAAGTCTCGCTATTTATTGGTTTCAATGACTTTGATAGGTAAATGAACTCCTATAACTTAATGTGATTGTCTATTTTGTCATTAGGGGTTATCATATTAACCTCGAAATTTTCCGAATAAACTAGTGGATCATCAGAAACGCGGACGCGTGAAATTATTAGATCGCCAATGTTTATTTTATACGAGTAGTAACTTGAACAAGTTCTCTTCGAAACAATTTTACTAAGATTTAATTTAAATTATTGCAATTTACTTTGTGCTTCTCTGTCTGGTCATATGGATTATAAGAAAAAGCAATCAACAGCAAAAGTGGCAAACAAATCGGACAGGTTGCCATTGAAAAAATTGGGAATGTCTAGTAGTAATAGTAATAATAACAGTAGCAATGTTCTCAACAACTCTAATAAAAGGGAAACGAAAAGTTTTCGTATTGCCTCTCAAGCGATGTTGGGCGCTGTGAGTACTAAATTGACTGCTTAAATGTTTTAAAAGTTTCATAACGAGAAGATACTTATAATTTTGATGTATTATACACAGCAAAGGACATTAATAAAAACCAACAATAACAATGACAACAAATCATCAACAATTCTAATCGATAAAATGCCATCAGTGAAACTTTTGTCGTCCTCAACAGTAGTTAATCTAAAGACCGCCGAACTGGTCAATAACAATAACTTCAAACCCCAGAACAATGATATTATCGAACTATCACATTCGATAAATAATCTCAGTTTGGATGAAAATGCTGACAAATGTGGAAAAAAGATCGAAGAAGATTCAACAACGATAAAAACGTCAATGGAAAGAAATTCAATGTCTCTCATTTCTTATAAGCCTGATAAACATACGATTAATCAAATAGAAGCAGCAAACGTTCCAAAGTAAGACGTCGCTTTCATTTCTTTCTATGTATTCTTTTAATCATATTTAGCGTATAATCTTTTTCACATTCACACACACACACACACACACATCAAAATGATAAAAACAGGCCAATCCAGCCGCGGATGTGGTCATTAGATAACTTTGAGATCGGAAGTCCTCTCGGTAAAGGAAAATTCGGTCGAGTTTATCTTGCCAGAGAAAAAAGTAGCGGTTATATTATTGCATTGAAAATATTGTTCAAACAGGAGTTGCACGCTGCCAAAGTTGAAAAACAGCTGCGTCGTGAAGTAGAAATCCAGTCTCACCTACGGTTGGTTGTTATGAAGGATATACACGATTCGCAAATCAATGACTATTATGATTCATTGCTCACGTTGATCTTTATGACAAATCTTAAAACATAGCCATCCGAATATTCTGCGCCTCTTTGGCTATTTTTATGATGACCAACGGGTATATTTGATATTGGAATATGCTGCTAAAGGGGAACTCTACAAGAAACTTAAAAGTTGCAAAAGATTTACTGAAAAGCGTGCATCTAGAGTAAGTTACCGAGAATATAATATGTGTTCGCATCAATATATTTACGGAGAATAATATTAAATTATATTCATCGTTAATGTAGTATGTCAATCAAATGGCCAATGCGCTAGTTTATCTACACAAAAAACACGTAATTCATCGTGACATCAAACCTGAGAATCTGTTGTTAGGGATGAACGGTGAACTTAAAATCGCTGATTTTGGTTGGTCAGTTCACGCACCTAACGCGAGGTAAAGTAAGAAAATATCTTTAACAAAAAATTCAATCTTTTATCTACCGTAACCTAAAAAAAGTATTCTTTATTTGTTATTAGACGCAAAACTCTATGTGGCACATTGGATTATTTACCTCCGGAAATGGTTGAAGGACGTGAACATGATGCCAGAGTTGATTTGTGGTCACTCGGCGTTTTGTGCTACGAATTTCTAGTTGGTATACCTCCTTTCGAGGATTTGAGTGGCCATTCGGCCACCTACAAACGAATTGCCTTAGTGGACTTAAAAATACCTGATCATATTTCCCCGGAAGCACAGGATTTGATAGTGGCGGTGAGTTTATTTTCCATACAATTAAAATTAAAATTCGTATGATTTCTTTTTAATGTGATTGTGTAATTCGGACATAGCTATTACAATATGATCCAAACAAACGACTCCCTCTTGAACAAGTGGTTAAACATCCATGGATTCTACTATACAATCAAATCGGATCCAATGCATGTGAAGAGTTTGAATAACTTCTCTCTAATTAAACAATTTCTATTTAAAACGCATCACGTCTCGTTTCACTTGTTGATAAATTATTTTATGAATGGCAATAATAATTTCTCTATTAAGGTATTTTTAAATGAGATAGAAAGATGAAAAAAGAGCTGGCATTTATTGTCTTTTGGCAGAGGATTTGACTAGTAGTTACGCGTGAACTTATAAATGGATTGCCCATGCAAATTAACTAATTCAAAACTGTATAAATATCCAGGTATTTTATAAGATCATTACTCTAAGTATGAGTATAGGGAGGAGATATTCTATATAGTCAACATTCTATGATAATTCTAAATGATCTCCGGTGAATTTTGATCATATCAAAAAGGTCATTTAGAGATTAAATCTCACATCCCATATATATGTTTTTGCGCTCGATCCAGTTAATATTGAAATTAGATAATTAAACAGCTGCCCGAATCTTCGCCATTAGGATTCAATGTCTTTTCAATTTCAGCAATCATCAAGTCAAATATTCGCGCTATGCATCGAGAATGTAAATGTCAAAATTATGCAACAATTTTATAAGAGGTAAAACAAAAAAAATGATGCTTACTGATGTTTTCATTATGTTTAGCAGAAGCTTCTGTCCATGCACAATTCCATTGGGTAGCCAGTTCTTTTCCCTCCTCTGCCGAGAGTTGCCTATATTTTTGAATTATGATTACTCGATTTAAATTTGCGATGCTTCCAAAAAAGAAAAAATAAAAATAAAACAATTACCTTTGCATATGCAAATCTGTTTTATTTCCGACAAGCACCATAGGAACCCATTCTGTTCCGGCATAATTTAGAATTTTATCTCTTATAATTTTCATCATCTCGAAACTCTGTCTCGAAGTAATGGAATATACAAGTACATATCCATGAATACCAACCGCATGTGTCGAATTAAGAATCGAATGTTCATCCTTTTTAATAGTGCGCAAGGATGAATAGAATACAGACAGATCAATGATTTAATTAATAGATATATTCAGTTCATGTAAGAATGCGAAATACCTGTCCCGCAGTATCTATAATCTCTGCCGCGAATTCTTGTCCTCGAAAGCGTATGACTTTATTGAAAGTGTTTTCAATTGTAGGGTAATAAGAATCCACGAAGTGATTCTCAACAAATTGAATCGTTAATGAAGATTTCCCTTTTCAAAAAAGAAATAATAATAATAATTTTATTATTTTGCATATTAAAGAGCTGTTTCACCGAGATTTGTCAAGTTTCGTTTATCCCCCACCTACTGCACGAGCCCCTAGAACAGCTATTGTACGAGGCTTAGGATTCGACATCTTAAAAAGTGTCACAGGTTGTTATCCTTTCAGTATAATATAAACTGGTTTGGCTTTTTAGTCTAACGATTATTGGTGTAATTAAGAGCTCAGATACGGTATAAACATGATAAAAAGCCAGAAATCGTTGATCTCTTTTACTTTTAAAGAGGAGAAACTAGGTTGATATTGACAACTTTTATATCGGAATTTAAAAAATGTGATTCGCATTATCTGATCTCAGATATGAGAGTTACATTAGCTCGCAGATGAGAAAAAAATGAAAAAAATCTCATACATTTTAAATGTATTTAGTTAGTAAGTTTATTGAAGCGTCACTATTGAGAATATATCTTTGGGAATATAATTCATTTGAATATAACGAGTATAATTAAGAAAAATGACATAATAAAGAAAATTGTTACCTTAACGTTAATATTGTTCTGTAAAACTCGGGTTCCTGAGCATTACGCGTCACGCGTTTCCAGGATAACGATCTTCAATCAACCAATCACATAATACATGTCGAAGTTTTACGCGTTTCTTCAATTTTTAATAGATAGTTGGATGAACGACTTGAATTCTCTTACCGAGGTATTTCGAAAAATAATTTAGAGAGAATGAGCGCTGCTAAAGAAAAGTATCAAGCACACAACGCGGGGCACACCGTAGTAGCTTACGCGAAAAGTACAAAGTACGTGTGAATGGGACGCGTCGAGCTTGAAGTTTTTGATACTCGATTAAACCACAATAACAAAATAAATATTGAATAGAAATATAATAACTGGTGGCAATGACGGTGTCATTCGCGTTTTTCCTCCCTGTGAAAAAGGACTAATAGTAACGCCCAAAAGCATAGAATCATACCAAGCCGGAACACGATGGATCGCAGTCAATGTAAGAAAAGGATTTTCTTAAGCAATTCTATACCAAAAAGCTATATTTCTCGAAATAAAACTTCATAAACTTTATATATGGAAATATAGAGAGGAAAATTTGTCGTTGCATCCGAAGACAATAGTGTCTGCCTCTTTAATATCAAGGAGAAAAAATTTGAAACTATTTTGTATCGATGTACGTTGCCGGCACGAAGTGTCGATTTCACCGCTGATGGATCGAAAATAGCGATAGCGTCAGAGTATGAAGGATTCAGGATTACAAAGTTCTTTTTTGTTTTCCCCCAACTAAAAATAATTATCATCTAAATTCTGTTTTTTCCTTCTTTATTACAAATTTGTTATTCAAGTGAAATGGCAATTCACATTGTTAACATGCTTAATCCAAAGGAAGTATACCATCTAAAGGAAAATACAAGTAGTGTAAAGGCAGTCGCGTTTGATCCCATGGGCGGATTTTTGGTAGGTCATGCATATTAATTTTACATGGTACCTGTCCTTTTCTGAAAGTAATCTTCTTATACTATTTTATCAAATCATCAAGGTTTCTACTGGCTGTGACGGTTCTATTAGAATTTGGGACCTGCGACACGGCGAAGCACGTCATGCCCAAAACATATATGGCCAAATTCCAATGACGGAACCCGAGTAGGTATTTTCTCAAATATTATCCAAGTAAATTTATTGATCCTCATTAGAGGATTATTAATACCTCTAAATCCTTGTTTTCTCATAAAGTGAAAGGCATTTTCCTATTGCCTGGCATCCTTCGTCAAAGTTTTTTGTGGTACCGGGATGGCTAAGTGGTTTGTTTTTTTTAAAAAACAATACGGCTAATATATTATAATTCCGATCTTTAAAGATTTCATTCAGTATTTGCATATTTTATTGACTTAATTATGAAGATATCATTAAAGTTACCAAAATCGACGAAAAATGGAAGCATGAGAACATATTTAAAGATGTTCATACACAGGTATATTTTTAGTTATTTATTTATATATATATATATCTGTGTATATATCGACAAATTTTTAAATATGCTATATTTAAATAATTTATAGGCTATATGTGCACTACAGTGGTCACCTAATGGTAAATATCTTGCAACGGCAGGTTTGGATTCACAATTAAATGTTTGGGAAATTAAATCTCAACAACCTTCATGGAGGTATTTATTCGCTTTTTTATTCTTATCTTATTCCACATTCTTAATTTTATTTTAAATTAAAAATCTTTATATAGATATCGTACTGAAACTCCTGTGACTAGCTTAGTCTGGATTTCCAACAAAACAATAGCCTATGTGAGTTTTTTTAAGATAAATTTTGTGTAATGACACCTATCCTTAAATTATATATTATTTTGATTTTAGGTCGATGGCGTGGGTGTTCTTCGAGTTTGGAATCCTTTTGGAGATGAATTCTCTGAGTATGAAAGTGACAAAGAAACAGAAACTTTGATAGAAGATGAATCAAAAGAGATCTCTGCTGATGCTTCTGATGATGATGATGATAATGATGATGATGAGATAAAAAAGAAGCCTAAAAAGAAAAAATTCAACTGTGAGTTGTTGTGTATTATATTCTTTTGATTGTTCATATAGTATTTATATTGAATGCTGGAAACCTTAAATTTATTATTATTTGTAGATGAAGAAGATAACAAAATGATTGAAGACGAATATTTTCTTGATGACTTTGTAGTTAGTGATGGCGATGATGAAGACAAACGGTTAAATGAGAAACCACAAGGTAAAAAATAACAACGAAGAATTGCTCGATTTCGGATAAATCACACAAAGAAATTTAATTGTATACTATTGTATCTCTAGCCAATGTAATTAGTGTTGATATGCCTAAACCTTTTCATCCGGGAGCTACACCATTCAGAAACAAACAACGTTACCTAGGTAAGACGGTTGTGGTTATCTCTCATGATGATCAAATTATATCAATTTTTGCTAAAGTAGAATTTTATTTAATTTTTAGGATGTAATATATATGGATTCGTATCGTCCTTGGATAGTGACACCCACTCTACCGTGTTAGTTTCTTTTATTGACCAGACAATCAACCGATCATATCATTTCCGAGATATCTATAACTTTTCCATGTCTTGTATTGGTAAAAATAATTCTTCGGAATAATTAGTGGTATTGGATTGACAAATTAGGTATGTAATGAATTCTTTAAACAGTCAAATGTTAATTTATTAGGTCCACATGGAGTACTACACGCAGCGAAATCCAGTGAAGGGAACAATGCGGTGATTTCTTACAAGTATATAGGCGGTGTCTCCAGTAAATGTGAATGGAATATGAACTTGCCGTTGGAAGAGGATCTCATAGGTAAACAAAGTCATGGAATTTTTAATACTTACGATTTAACACATAATATCTATATTTTTGGTAATAGGCATTGCTCTTAGTGCGAAAGGACCGATTGTCGCCACCGAAGCGGGATTCGTACGATTTTTTGACAATACCGGTATTCAAACTGATATATTTCATTTAAAGTCTATCATTTGCATGGCTGCACAAGGAGACTATGCCATTTTTATTAGCGGTATCGAAGGCAAGTAAGCATTGATTGAATGGATCATTTGTATTTTTAAGTACTAATATCTTATTATCATTAACTTGATTTGCGTTTTGTAATGTAAAAGGAACCAAGAACCTCGAATTTAGCTTGTATAATGTTAGAACACAAAGTTTTATCATTCAAACAGGACGATTACCTATTGACTCAAAATCCCAGCTCATGTGGGTAGGATTTGCACAAGAAGGGGTAAAAGTTTGCAATTTCAAATTTTTCACAAAATTTTTAAGGATTTTACATATTGACAGCTTGTTTTCGATATTTGAAAGTACCCGGCAATATACAACTCTGATGGATTGCTCAGTATACTTTACATGGTTCACATTCCGAATCAATGTCGATGGGTGCCGGTCCTAGATACCAAACAGTTACCACAATCTCGAGCAAACCTTATTACGTATTGGCCTGTTGGTCTTAGTGGGAACACTTTCCGATGCATCATTTGTAAGGTATGATTTTCTTAAAAAATTTACGAATCAAATTTTTAACTAGGTCTCCGTTTATTTGCTTATAATTGATGCTTTTTTGAATAATACCAAAAGAGAGGAGAAAAGTATCCTCCGTATCCGCTGCCGTCTATAGATGAAATAACTCTTCAGATTCCGATTTTGCATCTTGAGAAGACAAATTGCCAGATAGAGGAGAAGTGTGTTGGTGGTTATTCTTGGTATATTTTTATTTCTGTTAAATAAAATTAATTTAATTTAAATGATTCCCCTTAGAATCATAAGAACAAGAATAATGACCGACTTTGAATACCAAGAAGCTGAAGCAAGGGGCGAACTTGATTCGAGAAAAGAAGAATTCCGTAAAAAAACTCTTGAAAATGATAAACCAATACTTCAATTAGTGCTGGTAAGTCTTTATTCACTTATCTAAACATCGACTTATTCCTCCATGCTTGTTAGCTTATTAATTTTTTTTCTTGCTTGAAACAGAATGCATTTAAAGAACATAATCTTGAGCGAGCATATAGTTTAGCTACAATGCTTGGCTCCGATAAAGGTATTGATGGGGCTATTATGATCGCTGAACAACGTAATCTCTTAGCATTGGCAGACCGAATTAGGTTATTCAAGGATGTGGGTGTTTCATCTTTTTTTTGATTGATTGAAAGGTATCACTTTGTTGATAAATATTCAAGGACTAATTTTTTGTTTATTTGGCATATTTTGGAATAGGAAAAGAAGCAGCGAGAACAGAGTCAAGTTAATAATGATACGCAGCCAGTATACACGGTTATTTCTACAATTCAAGAACGTTGTCAAGAAACCACCAAGCTTTGTAATCTCGATCATAATTTAAGGTAAGTCGCATTATATAGGTTCTCAATGGGATGGGTAGTAATTAGTGTACCAAAGTGATTAAAAAATAAATGATTATTAATTCTAGCAATGATAGCAATATGTACAAATCCAGCCTAAAGAGAACACATCACGAGTCATCCGAACCTGAAGAAGCATCAAAAGTTGCCCCCAAACATGAAACATCATTGCCCTCATCGTCATCTATTTTTAAAAAGAAATCATCAGAAAAGAAAGGAAAGATCGCAAGTGAGCTTAAGATTTTTTTGTTGTTTATTTTCTATAAAATGGTAATTTAACTAAATTTCATCTTCATTATCTTTATTATTACAGAAGACAATCCCATTGCCAAAATGGCACACATGGATCCCGAAAAGATGAAAAATCTATTTCAGCCAGTTAAATCTAAAGAGAATTCTCAGAAAGCATCACTTACTTCTATTGGTATTTTTTTATTTATTTTTTCTCAACCTACGTAAACATAATATTCATATACATGCATGTAATATATATGTACATAGCTGAGAACGACAAAATACCCAAAAATAAAAAACAATCGACACTTTTCGGGTACAGTGGAAAAAAAGAAGTAAGAAATCTTGCTTATTCCTTATTTCTTGGATCAACAGCACGTAAAGAATATTAGTTAATTAATCATTCATCATTGGTAATAACCAGGATAAGGATGCAAAAGATAATAATGACCAATCAAAAATTACAAGTCAACAGGGTAAGGAAAAAGATAATGATAATGATGGTGGGCATGACGATTCGCCAATGGATATCGATCAACATAATTCAGAGGAAAAAACTAAATTTTTGGAAGATATTAATAAAAATGATGATGAAGCTTCAACAGTTTGCGTGAATCCAGATAATCATAATAATAATACAAAAACAGAAATAATTACAAATTCTGGTTCTGAATCATCTTCAATTGATACTAGCAATAAGAAATCATCATCACAGTTGGATATGTTCAAATTCCATGGAAATACTTAACAATAATATTAATATTCTGAAATTGATAGATTTATATGTATAATTAATTTTTGATTAATGATTAGATTGTACTTATTAAAAATTTTATTATGCTTTTATGTGCGTGCGTATATATCTATGTGTGTGTGTGTGTGGATGTAGGCGTAAATTAAAGCATCTCAGAAAATAATCGGTTTTAAATTTCAATTATAGTTTGATGTACGATATTTTTCTAAAAAATTTCAAAACAAAGAAGGCTGAAAAGACCCAAGGTCCAAAGATGGATTTAATGTCTCATAAAAACAGAATTTATTACCACTTTGAAATTATTGTCTTTATTTACATGTGCTTCTTTTCATTCAAATTAGCAAAATTTTAATACTGCTAGGGAGCAACAACCATTTTCCCTAAATCTTTGAATTCTTCCACTAATCTATAACCCCCAATTATAAGGATGTCACGAATAGCAGATTAATTGAAGGGATTTCGAGATGGATGCTCTGTAGCGTTTCCATCATCTGCTGGTCCATCTTCACCTTGCATCATCGCAGTCACTTCCATCACTCTTGATTGTCTTACTTGTGAACCAGATGACGAGGCATGATTATTACTACCGCTATTACTAATACCATTACTGGAGATGTTATTGATAAGAGAGCTACTACTAGTATAATCTTCAGCTGTGCTGGTCGTCGAAATTTGATTTGTGTTGCTACTTTCTCCTCCATCACCTACACGACCGGAATCTCGCTGTTGTTCCAATGAATCATTATTGTTATCATTATTATTGTTATTATTATTATTGTTATTATTATTATTATTATTATTATTATTATTATTATTATTATTATTATTATTATTATTATT